ATTTATTTTCAACACATAGGCCTATTCGAAAAAAGTTTTCTCTGTGAACCGGATCCTTAACGTTGCTCTTTCCTTCTCCCATGGCCCAGGTGATGGACAAGCTGAAGAGTGTCCTACACCTGAAGGAAGACAGCAGCCAGGACGAGGGGCAAGAGGATACCAGAGGGCAGTCATGAAGAACGGAGAATGAAGGGACCAGAGCACCCAGGCGGCGAAGAACCGTCAGCAGCAGAACCTTACACGACGAAGCCTTGTGATGGCCAAGAACTTCGAAACCAAAACCCAAAAAAAAAGATAGGAGGAGGTTCTGCCGAAGATAAAAATTGATAAAGATGAAGAGTTACATGGTGGATGAATTGGGTGATTTTAGCTGGACTTTTAAGACTTTTCTTTGGTTCTTCGAGTGATATTGGGTTGAGGAAGATTGATTGAAAATGTGAAAAAGGAACTGTGCAGAAGGGAACCTGATAGATTTCCCCCCCTTTTTATCTTAGTGAGCCAGAAATTCGGTGGAAAAAAGACGTATTATTCTCTGTCACTCGCCCATTTCTTCTTCCCATTATCTCTCTCATTTATCATTTCTTCATTCGTCCCTTCGAGCTGTTGCACACATTTCCTCAAGTTATACAGACAGTTGAAAAACGGGAAAATATCTCCACCCCTCGAAATCCATAATAAGGTTAGTTATGAAAAAAAAATCTCTTCTCCTAATTAGTGTTATCCTGTTATTGATTTGCAAGGGAACGGATTTGCCCTTGAGTTCAGTTTTTCGACAGATCTTCCCCCTTGTATATTGTTACAATATGCTACTTATACTTACTTATATTTATTTTCAACACATAGGCCTATTCGAAAAGAGTTTTCTCTGTGAACCGGATCCTTAACGTTGCTCTTTCCTTCTCCCATGGCCCAGGTGATGGACAAGCTGAAGAGTGTCCTACACCTGAAGGAAGACAGCAGCCAGGACGAGGGGCAAGAGGACACCAGAGGGCAGTCATGAAGAACGGAGAATGAAGGGACCAGAGCACCCAGGCGGCGAAGAACCGTCAGCAGCAGAACCTTACACGACGAAGCCTTGTGATGGCCAAGAACTTCGAAACCAAAACCAAAAAAAAAAAGATAGGAGGAGGTTCTGCCGAAGATAAAAATTGATAAAAGATGAAGAGTTACATGGTGGATGAATTGGGTGATTTTAGCTGGACTTTTAAGACTTTTCTTTGGTTCTTCGAGTGATATTGGGTTGAGGAAGATTGATTGAAAAATGTGAAAAAAAGGAACGCGAGAACTGCTGGACAGTGTGCAGAAGGGAACCTGATAGATTTCCCCCCCTTTTTATCTTAGTGAGCCAGAAATTCGGTGGAAAAAAGACGTATTATTCTCTGTCACTCGCCCATTTCTTCTTCCCATTATCTCTCTCATTTATCATTTCTTCATTCGTCCCTTCGAGCTGTTGCACACATTTCCTCAAGTTATACAGACAGTTGAAAAACGGGAAAATTTCTCCACCCCTGAAATCATAATACCAACAAGCCATTATTTACTTCCAGCGCACCTGAAAATGATGTGGTTTTACACATGGGAAACGGAGATTATACATGAATATTTTCAGGGGTAGCGAATATTATTTGTATAAATGTCATAATTTTTTAAAGCAATGGGAAGTGTGACTGCTTGTGTAAACATTCGTGGAAGATGCCATACAAAGGACAAAGTTCTCTGCAAGCAAGCCACAACGACAGAGGAAGAATCCGTCTGCACTTGTATCATTGGCATTGGAACGCAGCTTGTGAAATTGTGAATTGATGTATTCATTTTGGCCTGTGTCTGCAATTGAATATTGATGCTGACCTTGTACCTGGTAGTAACAAGCAGATTTTATACTATGCAATATATATATATATATATATATATATATATATATATATATATATATATATATATATATATATATATATATATATATATATATATATATATATATATATATATATATATATATATATATATATATATATATATATATGGATGTATAAATGTATATTTATATATACATATATATATGTACACATTCACATTTATATGCACATACATACTTACATACGTATATATATACATATATACACGTGTTTGTATATGCGTGTGTAATTACACAAAATGTATTCGCGTTGTATGTTTATACATAGAGCTGTGCCTGCAGCGCCCGTGGCTCCCACCGCCGCCTGCTCGCCGCACCACCACGTGCCAAAACAAGAACTTCTCGAAAGCATTCTCCTGCCGAGGCGCGCGGGCCAAACGGCAGCGCCCTTGGCAACTTCGAACTTGGCCGCGGGGGGCGCCTTCGAGTTCTTATCTCTCCGCCGTCGCTCAATTTTCTATTTGTTGGAGATTCTGAATGTGAAGCTGTGTCTTATCGCCGCCGCATTTACACTTCGCAGCTGTCGGAAAGTAGCAGTGGTCTCTGGCCTTGTTCCGTGAGGATGGCGCGGCGCGGGTCGTTCCGGCACCTATTCTGTGTGTATTTTATGTTAACTCGTACTTATATGCATATTTATGTATATATATGTTTGCATGTATACATCCATCATATATGTATTTGTGCATATTGTATTATATATATGCATATATATATGTATATATATATATTTATATATATATATATATATATATATATATATATATATATATATATATTTATATATATATATATATATATTGTATATATAATTATATATATATATATATATATATATATATATATATATATTATATATATATATAATTCGGGTGTCATAGTTATTGGCTTTAATCTGCTTAGAATATAGAAAACGTGAAGTTAGTTTTATACATTATGTCTGTTATAGGGTTGGATTTGTTCAACTCACGATGACTTCGGACATATCAGAATCAGTGTCAAAACAGGAAGTGGGGAGTGCTGTAAACAAGGTTCAAACGAGCATCTAAGGCAGCAAATCAAATTTATATTGAGCATATTTATTGGTTATCCCATTCCAATCACTCTCACGCAGAGGGGGAAACAGGAGGGTGGAATGGAGATGGATGGATGCAGAGCGAAAGACGAAGCCGTCCCTTGCCTGTCACGTGAATTGGGGGAGGGGGGGGCTATCTCCCACCTCAGTCGAGAGAGGTTGTTGTCTCGGAGTTCAGGTTACGTAAGGTGGGATGAAGTCGCTCTCTCTCTCTCTCTTTCTCTCTCTCTCTCCTCCCCCCTCCCTCTCCCTCTCCCCCCTCTCCTCTTCCCTCTCCCTCTCCCTCCTCTTCCCTCTCCCTCCCTCTCCCTCCCTCGGCTTTTTAAAGAAGCAACGCGAGAGAAGCTGCCTGTTTCCAGGTGTGATTTGGCAAGGGACAGCTTGGGGTCCTAAGCTGTATTGATCGAGAGTGAGCTTGCGATTCTCTGGGCTGTGATGTGGCAGGATGGAGAGCTGTCCTTTTGGCTGTGATGTGAAAAAGGGGGGGAGGGAGGGGAAAGAAGTGACGTGGACCGTTGAGGGTAAATGGAAACCGTGGTACTTAATGCCTTCCGTCTGGTGTTCGTTTTTTGTAGGTATATAAAAAAAAGGAAATTTGTGCGAAATGCCTTATATTTCGACGATACTTTTTTTGTTGCAGTATGGATATGAATGTGTTTTTTTAATGTTATAGTATTTTTTTTTTTCTTTTTTCTTTTCTTTTCAGTACATTGTAGTGAAATGATATTTGCTTCTAGCTTCAAATATAATCAGTAAGTTAGGTAAAAGATGGTTTGTGAATAATTGCATGGACGTGTGGCCCCATTATTTTATTTTTTGATATCATATGAGATATTTCATCAATACTGTGGAACGATATGATTGTGTTATTGATTGAAGTAACGTTAGACGAGTATTTTCAAGATGCAGAGCATGTGTTTGAGCCTGAGAAAAAAAAGTAACCGAGTTGGTATGTTTCGTTCAAAAAAGGCACAGTTCGGAGTTTATTACGTACAGAAAGGTATAGTTAAGAGTAAGTTATTACCAATATTATGGTGCTATAAGAATTATGAATCTGTTTCGTTTGAGTCTGTGCGTGTGTTTCAGTTTCGCTTAGAATTGGTTTGTGCTGTCTTGAATTTTTTATTATTATAATTATTATAACACGTGGATGGATGTCTGAGTGTGCATGTTTTGTTAACTTGTTAGTCCGTGTAGATGTATGTTAATGTGTATCTTTGACCTTTGTATTGTCATGAAAGACCGTGTAGCTAGTGTGTGTGTGCGTGTGCGTGTGTAAAATCCTGGATGTCTGTAATATTCAAGTATTATGTATGTGCGAGTGTGAAAAGATCGTATTGTATTACAACCTCAATTATTGATCTGAGACAAAACTATTCAACTGTAGGTTTGGAAATCAAGCCTAAATTTCAGGTTATCTTATTTAAACGGTACTTGTTTTAGGTGTTGAATATGTTATACCCCCTTTTTTAATGTGTGACGAGAATTCCACGTACAGACATGCTTCATACGGATTTTTTTCTCTTTTTTTCTTTTTTGTGAAGAACAGCTAGTCTTTAAAACGAGTTTACATTCCTATTTCAAATTTCTCTTTCTTCTTTTTTTCTTTCTTTTCATTTATACGATAGGGTTTTTGTTCGACATGCTTATGATGTCTCCTTGTATCCAGTGAATGACTCGTTCTGTGATGAATGAGTGAAAATGTGATGAACGTGCAGCGTCCCACAAAAGGAATTTATGCATATATTGTGAAGTTTATATTTCTACGAGGATTAATGTTTTATTTTACATGGGATCATCTAACGTTAATATATTCTTAAAATGTCGAGTCCAGTCTGAGGATTATCTGCGTGTCCAGTACACACAAAAATGTTCAGTTTGAGACTCGGAAGAGATTTTTTGTGTTTACAGTCAGTATGGTAGCTTAATATAGTGTGAGCTATACGTTTATATATTACTATATTTTAAAAGGATAAGATTTAGTGTGAGTATCCTGAAAGTCTTTTTTATAGGATGATCATAATGGCATAATTACTTATAGACAATTGTGGTAATATTGTTACATGTGCATTTTCTTTTTGGTAAACTTTCGTCTCAAGACATTGTGAAAAATGATTTGTGCGTGCCTGGCAACGAAAAAAATAAAAGGTTTATCAAGAAATGTGTTCTTTCATTTCTTCTGCCTGATAGTTATGTAACTCGGGAAGTTTGGGTGACCTCAAGCAGGTCGGGGAAGCAATTATTATATTACGTCTCAGGAGCGAGGGACGTTCTTGCTAAATGCGTGGGATTGTTTATTTTCTGAATCCTTGAGCGCCTTCGTGGTTCTCTCCAAGAGCCAGATGCTGTTCGTGAATATTGTTGGTAGAGAGAATTATACACAACATTT